TCTTCGAATGGGGACCCTTTAGGGGGGGTGCACGTTCGGCTCGAGTCCTGCTGAGCGACTCTGGAGCTCAAAACACCGGGCGGCTGAAATTTCGGGCGCCTCGACCACCCCTTGCCTCCGCCGCCCTGCGCCCCGACACGCGCGTCCTGGAGACGGTCGGCCCGGGCTTCGCCTTCGGGCCGAGGCGAAGGATGCCGTCAGTTTGGTCCGCAATGCCGCGGCGCGGCAGCCAGCCGTGTCCCGAGAGTCGTTTCCGTCGCGCCTCTCTCGCACCTACTGAAGACGCCCCTTGAGTGCGAGAGAGACAGAGCGACGAAAACGACTCTCGGAATGAGTCTCACGGTGTCGCGGCTCGTGACGCGCGGCGCAGCCTTGGCGGCAGCGGGTGGGGCCGTGCCGGCCGTGCCAAAGCCAGCCAAAGGCAGCAGGGCCGGCTATTCGCGTCCAGTCCATTGGTAAATAAACACTGCGCGCACACACGCATACACGCACACACTCACTCACACACGCACACTCTCCGAGGTGCGAGCTGGTACTATACGCACACACGCGCGCGCTCACACTGTAAAAAATGTTGCAAATTTTTGAAACCCATTGGCATGCGAAATTTTGCCACCCAATGTACAAAGACTCCAGTTGCACCCAGTGGGTTGCAGAAGGCCACTGTACCAGCCCACTTGATGAAATACATCGACCCGTTGGACAGCGAAATTTGCTATTGTGTCGTCGAAAATCCGTACATCTGAGACGAAATTCATGATTTGGGTGATTTGGGCTCTGAGCTCACCCACATGTTCAAATTTAGTATCTTGTGGGTTGAAAAAGTTGCCGTCCACGTGAGAGAATTTACACATGTGGAGATTCTCGGATGGCCCACCATGCCCACCTGTAGAAATTTAAACTTGTGGTTAAGCTGAGTTCCTCAACTTGCCCACAAATGCAAATCATCCATCGAGGGCCCCGCTAACGGCAGACGGTCTCGAGCCGGCTGGGTCAAGTAGCCTCCGCCGAGCGTCTTCGACTAGCTAGCGTGGTGGCGCAGTGGTCAGAGGGGTTGGGGCCTGAGTGGAGATTGCAGGTTCGTGCCTGCACCTCGTGATTTTTCTGAGGTCAGCCCGCATTTTTTAAAACACCTCCAAACCCGGGGTCTAACACGTGGGCAAGTTGGGGGGCGTCTTGCGGCCAAGATGCAAAATTTATGCACCTTGGGCAGCGGGAGGGCCTACTGTTCCCACGTGAGAAATTCACTATTTGGGAAGAACGGTTCCCCTTTTACACCATTGGGGAACAAAATTTTGGCGCCGTGGGTTACTGAATTTCGCAACCCCTTTTGGGGTGTGAAATTCGTGATCGAAGGGTGGTGCAGGGGGGTTTTAGCACCCAAGTAGCAAAAATTTGCAACTTTTTTTTTTCAGTGCACATTCGCGACGGATGCACGCTGCGCGCTGCTACGCCGTCGACACGCGTCGCGCGCGTTCTCTCTCTCTCTCTCTCTCTCTCTCTCTCTCTCTCTCTCTCTCTCTCTCTCTCTCTCTCCACACACAGTGGCGCACACACGCTAGAATACACACACGGGAGTAAATGGCGCGTTAGTCCTGTGTGCCCCTGATCCCCGTGCAGTGCGCCATGCGCCGCGTCTGCCGCCCGCTGGTGCGACGCGCCCAACTGCTCTGTGTGTGTGTGTGTGTGTGTGTGTGTGTGTGTGTGTGTGTGTGGATTGATTTCCCCCCGCCCCCACCCCCTCACTTGATCCTCGCTGACTTTGCTGGCTTAATCCTGGCAGCGGTTCGCGCGGCAAAGTCCCGGCCGTCCCGGCGCAGCGCGCAGTGGGGCCGCTGCCTCGCTCGCCGCTGCACTCCGTACACTCCACTGTGATGTTGTGGCTGTACAATGTCGGCGGTGCCCAAAGTTGGAAGGGGGCGGAAGCCGTAGCATTTTGGCACAAGCCCCTCAATAAAACAGTCTGCTTGAAACAAGCCGCTGAATGAATTAATGAATGGAGGTCCTGCCTGAAGCTGCCCGTCCGAGTTTGTCAGACCGACTGAGTCCTCGAGGGCTGAGTGTAGCTGTACTAACAGAGCACGTACGTGTGGGTGGCGGATGGAGACACTGAATTTAGAATTAGGAAACAGATCACTGAACCACCGACCGTTTGAATCAGCCCGCGTCCCTGACTCATACGTAGAACACGATCGTTGTTTTCGAAGTATTCCCTCTGTAAACTTAAATATCCTCAAAATAATTGGTGGCACTATTTCTTTATGTTCGTTGGCAAGGCCCAAAATATTTCGTGCTGTTTCACGGGCGTGGGAGTGCGTGGTTTTGTACGTCAATTTGCCGTCGCTCAGGGGAGAGGCCGCCCCTTTTTCACCCCTTTTTCGCCCCTTTTTCACCCCTGTCCCCCCACCACCCAACCCTTTTCACGCGGCGCGGCTCAATCGGCGCTTTTGCAGTGCAGTGCCGACGCCGGCCGCGCTGCCCGCGCTGAATCGGCTCGCGTGCCCATTGAACATTGAAAGGCGCCAATCAGTCGGACGGACGGCGAGTTTTGGCGTCTAAAGTTGTTGCCGAGACGAGCAAGCCACTCGGGCTAATAATTGCAGGTTTGCCGCTCGGCTAGCTGCTCTGGGCCGTGCCTTGCCGCGCCGCGCCGTGCCGTGCTGTACTACGCCGGTCTGGGGCGAGTTTCGAGAGCACTTATGGTCCGTCCGAGACCGAGTCTTGGCCCCGGCAAACAGTGGGCCAGAAGACCTATGGAGCGGCCAAAATTCTAGACGCGTTTTGAGCTCCAGAGTCGCTAAATGGGACTCGAACCGAACGTGTGACCCCACCAATGGATAGCTCTCCGAACGAGGAATCCATTGGTGGGGTCACACGTTCGGTTCGAGTCCAGTGTAGCGACTCTGGAGCTCAAAACGCGTCTAGAATTTTGGCCGCTCCATAGGTCTTCTGGCCCACTGCGCGGCAGCGGAGCAGGAGCAGACCCCCTCCGCCTTTTATTGCTGCCCGTGAGCGTGCACTGGGAGATTTTGTTTCGCAGACGAAATGAAAACTTTCGTCTCCGGCATCGAAGTGTGTTCCATCCGAGCAATAACGTTGACAAAAGCAGTAACATGAAGGTTCCAGGCAACAAAAATCTTCAGTTTACCGTTTGATGCGACCCAAACTTCGCGGTACCTGTGTAGGGTAAATCCACTCTGAAATTTTCCAGACTCAGCACCTCTGACTGAAACTCGGCAACTCAGATTGAAACTCTGAAACTCTGCCTGAAATTCTCAAACTCTGACGAAACTCTGAAATTTTACAGTGGATTTACATCATCATCATCAACGCTGATAGGCCTATACAGACCTATAGCGGTTCGAGTCAGCAAGACACTCCGACCTCGCGCGTCCTCGCCGCAACCTCAGATGCGGCAGGATTTCTGCATAGTCGTAGTGCCCTATTGGGGACCTGGTGCCATTTTCATGCAGTGCGTGCGCTCACTTGTTGCAAGTGTTTTCCGCGGTTCGGGGCGTCGTTTTGGGCGTTCGTGGGGTCTCTATTTCCACCATGTCACGCGCTCCGTCGGTTGTCGGTCGCAAGAAGTCTAGTCGACGTGCCGCGGACGCTGACACGGCCTCGGCATGGCCCGGTCTGTTCGTGATGCCGGCCAGCAGACTGATTCCGAGAGCCGTGTTCCTCGCTCTGTTTTTCTCGCACGTTTACGTGCGAGGGAGACAGAATGACGAAAAGAACTCTCGGTCTCAGCCTGCTGGCGCCCTTTTGGACGGGCGGAGGAGGGACCGCCTGCTGGGGGCCGCGCGCCGAAAACCGCGGCGCTGGTCGGGGTACTTGTTGGAGAGGTTGTGCGAGGCGCGGGGGTGGCCGACTGGGTGGCCGAATGGGTGGCCGAATGGGTGGCCGACTGGGTGGCCGACTGGGTGGCCGACTGGGTGGCCGACTGGGTGGCCGACTGGGTGGCCGACTGGGTGGCCGACTGGGTGGCCGAATGGGTGGCCGAGGGCGGCGAGCGAGATCATCAAGTGGCCAGTGGGGCGAGTGGGCGGCGCTGGCGGCGATGCC